AATTCTTCGCTACAAGACACTACTTGACCGCTGACCGGCCGCGACCTGCTGTCTTCTTTCGTAGCGAAATTTTGTCTTTTTGTTTGGTTTTTTTTTTAAGCAAAAAACTCATGAATATTTGTTGGTCTCCTAATTTTTTAATGTTGGCTTAATGTAATTTATTCATTTTTTCTTAATCTTTACATATATTACTGCTGCTGCGCGTTGTCAAGCCAATTAGTTTGTAAAAACATTAACAACCTTTTCAAACCCAAGGGCATGCAACTACATATATATGAATATGTATACATAAATATAAATATGTAAATTTAATGTGGCATTGTTGGCACGCTCAGCGCAACTTGCATTTGGACGCGCCTGGAGGGGCAGCTAGTGCCAGCGCCCCTCTCTGGGCCTAAGCCGCAAACGGCTACTTGTATTGCATTTTGTTCTTGCCCCTAAATTCCAAATAGTCCCACATTAGTTGCGCTTAGCCGGTGCTCAGTTATATTAAGCACTACGCGTAATTTGCTCCCGCCGTCTTTTCAAGTGTGAAACGCATATTTGCTTTGTTCGTTTAGCTAGGCGCGTTCTTCAAGTTTTATCTGCTGGCATTAGAAGTACTAATTTGACTATCTGGTGGATTACTAATATTGTCTACAGTGTTATAGAAAATAATGGAACCTATGTGTTGTATAAATAAAAGAGTACCCTAGTCCAATCCGATAGTTGGAGGGAAATTGTGCTTTTCGAAACTCATTTATTTACGATGAAAAAGCGAGCAACACTTTCATAAACGGTCTCGTTTCTATTTTCTTCTTCTTCTTTTTATCTGCTTTCTCAAATAGACGGCAACAAACCAGCGTACTCTATTCTCTTTATCACACCAATATAACCTACAGGGAACTGTCTAATTATGAGGTTCCTGACAATTTCAAAGATTTTCTAGGTTTAAGAACCACAATCGCTTTCAGAAACCTTTTATTTTATGAATTAATCCGGGTTTATATCTAAACCTGTAGTCACTCCACAATGGTAGTTAATTTCAATAATGGTTGTTTATAACATAATTAAATAATTTTGATTATTATATTATATCTTATAGTTATAAGATTCCTCAATGTTCTAAAAGTATGATTAAAACTATTTCGACTAGTAAGTTTAACAAGCCTTCATTAAGGTGAGATTGATATGATATGAAAGTGGAAATTATCAACAAGTGTTTGGAAATAGAACAGCAATCACTGAGGTTATATCATTATAATATTTTCTTACGGCAAGTCCAGGAAACAAGCTTTTTCGACAATGTAGAGAGAAAATTAATACTTATTATCTTTTAGAGACTCTTTACAACAACTTGTTTTGGTTTTCATTAGAGTTTCCTGAGACTGATCCACGACCTCATTGATGGAAGATAATTTGACGAAGGCCTGTAATGATAATCCTGTAATTGATAATCCACGATGAACCTCACTTGAATTTGTTTTTCAGTTTATATACCGTCGTTATCAGAATATTTTATTAGAAAAATAATTTTCTATAATTTTTATAAGAATGTATATCAGATCAAGGTGTAGCTTATCTTCAAAACATCATTACCGATAAGCGTTCTATATATTACATATAAATTTAAAAAACAATCATGCAATAGAAGCCTAAGCTGGTCATTTACAACACAAAAGATCAGAATATACTTATTAAATGAGTATTTTCGAAACTACTTGCATATATGGAAGAAAGGTGAAAGATTTTTTCTCGATTTTATCTGCTTAAAAGACGAATTGCCAAAAAAAATCAAGGCAAACTTAGCAAAGCAAGTGCTTAGCAAAGTTTAGTAGCTTTTCAGAGTATAAAAATGTGTTAAGAGTTTAGATCACTTATACTACCAAAGCCACTACCAACCGATACACGCTTTAACATAATCATATATAATATTATGACTCGTCGAAATGTACAGCGTACGATTCCGATTATTCACTTGAACTTTCAATTCTTCTCCGACGTTTTCATAATGATTCTAAAAGATTTAAAAAGCAATTTTATTTACTTTCCTTTTTTCTACCCAACACTGTATTCCAATTTCCATATCATTTAAAAGTAAAAGATTCTCATAAAAGCATTTGAATAATACATGGAAATATTAAAGTTAATTATAGCGAAGACGTCGCTTTACACCCTCCATCTCCTTTCACGTTCGGCACTTGGCTTAGCAGCTCAGCGCACATGCCGCGACACATTTTATCTTACTCACCACCGCGCCATCGCCCCAAATGTGCCTCAAGTGTATAATTAATGAAATGCAACCGCCCTCAGTCTCTTGCCCAACTTTAAGCCTCTCTTCATCTAACTCACCTGCCGGCTGACGAATGCGTGCCGCTTGACGCCTCAGCGTGCAAGCGTTGCATCGTTGCAAATGCCTTCATTACACTCAACACTCCTCGGCTATTCGCTCCGGTATTTTTTGATGGTTCTGCGGTGATAAGACCACCAAGTGTGTTGGGTAAAGAGAGTTATTAACTGGCAATTTGCATAAATTTTACGCAATCACATCAAAAATGTACATGAAAACAACAATAAAATACACCCAAAAATATGTTGTGTCGTTTGCATTTAATTAGAAGGCATTTACTCACATATACATACTTACATTTCGGCAACATTTCTAAAAAATTTTATTATAAGTCTGATTTTGTTTGTCGTAAATATATGATTAAGTGCTTGAGCTGGTGGGAAATGTGGCAGTTTTGATATTTTGAATATCTAGCCTTGTGGTCAATAATTATCCACTTAATTTAGTATGCCGTTAAGTAGTGGATAATGCAATTATCTACCTGTTTGTATTCTAGACTTAGTGGGTGTAAATTTTTTCATCAATATTCATTTGGTGGGTTTAAACGAGTGATTTTGTTATCTTCAGTATGGGCTTCTCACTTCGACGATTTTTCTAATTTTACATAATTTCTCTAATCGCTATTATTCAGATTTGCGACGTATTTGTTTGATTCGCCATAAACAAGCAACAACCTCGGCTACAAACTGAACTTCTTTGTAACATTGAAATAACCCCGGTGTTTTGCCATTGCTTAATGAATCCATCTTGCTTCTGGCTCGGGCATGTTCTGAGGCGAGATCCAGAGACAATCACCTATCACGGTATCGACTGGGCGAACCGCTCTAACTTGAAGCAGAAATTTGGATATCAAAATATGCAAGGTCCAAAAAAATTGGAGTCAAGTTCGGAGGTTAGCACAAGATCGAAATAAATGGAAGAGACACATTATGGCCCGTTGCACTCCGTAGTGCCATAGAATAATATATAACGGGCGATCCAAATAGAGGTAATTTTTTCAATAGCATTTCTTTGACAGATCACGCGTGTCAGCTGTTATGTTATTTTTATTTAGTATTGCTTGACATTTTATCGTGGAAAGTTTACGCCTGAACAACCTTTACAAAACGTTCAACTTTTTTACGAAAATTCACATTCTGTAAAGAATGTGTTACGTTCGCTTCGCTTAACTTTTGGTCAACATAATCGGCCTACTGAGCGTACTATTCGCAACACCATCACCCATCTTGAGACTCAGCATTCATTATTAAATAATATTCGACCAAATAGACCACGTCCAGCACGCAATGAAGAAAATATAGCGGCCGTAGCTGAGAGTGTACACGAAGACCGTAGAGAGTCGATTCGGCGCTGTTCGCAGCAACTCGGACTGGCGTATGGAACGACTTGGCGCATTTTACTTTGAGATCTTATATTGAAAGCGTACAAAATACAACTTGTGTAAAAAGTGAAACCGCTCGACCTTCCCAAGCGACATCGTTTTGCTCTATGGGCTTTTGAAAAGTTCCAAGAAGATACGAGATGCTTTCGAGCCAAATTTTGTTCAGCGAAGAGGTCCTTCTCTGGCTTAATGTAAGCAAGTAAAACTGCTGCATTTGGATCGAAGAGCAACCTGAGAGAAAGAGATTAAAAAGCTGCCATTTCATCATGAAAAAACAACGGTTTGGTGTGGTTTTTGGGCCGGTGTGAATGAATCATCGGTCCTTATTTCTTCAAAAATGATGCCGGTGAGAACATAACTGTCAATAGCGACCGTTAATGCGCCGTTGATAACCGGCTATTTGATGCCTGAAATTGAAGCTCGTGATCCGGCAACATTTGTATTCAACAAGACGGCTCCACTTCCCACACATCGCATCAATCAATGGATTTATTGAGAGAACACTTCGGTAAGCAGATAAATTCACGTTTTGCGCCGATCGATTGGCAAATCGTGTGATATCACACCGTTAGACTGTTTCCTATCTATGCTTTTATCTGCCTTTACTAATCTATGCGGACAATCCCGCTTCGATTCAGGCTTTGGAGAAAAACACCACACGCGCCAGTTACCAGTCGAAATGCTCGAACGAGTCAATTTAAATTGGACTCAATGGATAGACCATCTGAGACGTAGCCGCGGCTAATATTTGAGAGAGATAATTTCCAAAAACTAAATGTGAAAGAATGTTGTTTCGAATGACAATAAGCATTCCGCATGAAATTTGAATTTTCTGTGATTTTATCTTTAAAAAAGTAGGGAACCTCGAAATGGATCCTATTTTATATACGAGTATGTATGTACATATGTTGAAGACTTATGAAAACTGAATTCAAACACAAATTGTGCAGGATAGTAGTTTGCAACTGTAACACCCACAGGGGTTAGCTGGACTCGATTAAATCTTGATGATATGGCTAAAACAAAAAGGTTATTTGTGATAAAATCCTAGTAATTTGTATTCATAGAATCTTTCGATACACATATCGCGCGCCGGTAAGAACTTTAAAGATTAGGATAAGCAAGCAGCTTTCGGTAAATTGCAGAAGACAAAACGAACTCAGCCACATAAATAATGTTGACTGCCGAGACTTATTTCTATAGGTTGGAATTTCGCCTCAACATAGTGTTAAGCCACATCCTTTTGGTAACGATCCGGTACGAGCATTTTAATAAAAATCTCTATTGTATTCAGGCAAGTATATGTATTACTTTAATGTAAATAATCTCACATCTTTTTGCATTAACCTACCCAAATTGCCCGACCTGCTTCCAGATCATATCCTTGAAAGTTCTAACATCCGAAAAATGTTCCAATAATGACTTCTTACACCCCTGAAAAACCAGACTGCAGTCCGCGCCGGAGCGACCTATTGACTCAGCATAGAAATATTCATTATCCGCATGCTCTGACAGTTCATCCACCGAGGAGGAGGGACTACAATGAAAATTCAAATTAGAAGCCTCGGCAAATCAGTAAAGAAACTAACTTACGTCAACAGTATGTGCAATAATTCGCCAAATAAGCCATTACCGTAATGAAATGGCGTCTCTGCGGCCTCACAAATGGTCTTCAATACACAGTCGCGTCCCGAAGGTGCAATGCTACAAAGTAATAAACTGACACTTAATTTGTTTACTTAAATATATATTTTTATAAGTGTGTACCGCTCCGCTAAGCCCTCGAGCGCTTTGTAGATGGACCACCTATAGCTGGACAACACCTTACGATTCTCACTCAAGTGTTGCTCCCAAGCGGCATAACGCTTCCACTCATCCGCCTTCGCCAGGAAGCGTTCGAATTTCGTCATTTGCCGTGCCGTGAATGGCATGCGTGTTATGGTAAAGAGTCTAGTTACGTTATCAGGTAGAAAATATTCGGCTTTGAGTACATAACCGGTGGTCATGGCCTCGTACAGTAAATCCTCCAGGGGTATACCAATACCTGCTATCCACTGGAGCGAAAAGTGTAATTTATTACAGTTGTCTTGCTTCTCCTCTCTTTTCTGCATCGCCTGCTCTACTAACCTGCACACGCGTCGGACTGGTCGGTGGAAATATCAACGCCGGTACCCAACGTTTCTGTCGCTCAGCGATGGCACTTAATTGGCAACATTGCGGTTGCATGACATTAAATATTGCCAAAAATAGTAAATAAATTCTAAAACTCATTCCACTTTGTATTTATGAACTGTACAGGTTCTATTCGATATCAATATCCATGCGCTGTTCAATACGGAATGCGGCACTTTGGCGCAATCAAAGTGGTAATAACCTCGAAAATCCTAATAAAACGTTGTCATAGCTGCAGCCGCAGAAGCAATCTCTAAGCTAAACCAAAGCAGAGGCCAACATGACCACGCTAAATGAGTTGTTGACCTAGTTCAGATACTTTTACAGCAGTATACTTAGATAGTACATGCATACATAGATATGTGTATAGGGAAGTATATAGTTTCTGTTAGCTCGTGGCTTCGCTTTGCCGTTGTATTGAATCTAGTGGTAAGCTAATGAAAATTAAAAGTTGCTTAGAACACGCCTGGCATGGCTATGTAATTAACACATCGTTGATGATGTCGATCCACTACCATCTACTCAGTTCCTAGCGCGCATTCTAGTGCTACTTATACACTCAAATATAGCCCTAGAGTATATGTAGGTATATCAACTCAAATAGTAGCAGTAAAGGGGGTCTAACTTTGGATATAATCGAAAGAAAACATAGATTATACTTATATTCACCTAGGTGTCTTAAATTTGGACCAAATTCAATATATCAGTTCTGCTCTTGAATCATTAAATTAGTGACCGGTGCGGGTTTCGCTTTAAGGTTAAGTTTAAATAATTTTGTGTAAGAGATTTTAAAAGCTTGTCTTGGAAAACAAAATTCTTTCCGAGATGCACCATTTATTCGTTTACTTGCAGGAATTCCAAATTTAAATATCTACTATCGTCATTGCTCTTCGAATTGTGGTTAACTGTAGTAATCCTTACCTCCTCCGTACGGTCTAATCTTTTACCACTGAGTCATTGAATGATATACAGATTTTCCAATAAGAGTAATATGATTTTTTTCCAAAAAAAATATAAACTAATTGTTAAAAAAATTCAAATGTGTTTTATTGTAGTTAATGTGAAGTACGATCGATACAATTAAGTTCTGAATGTAACATCATTCAAACGGCCTCCACGTCTTCTTATGCCGGAACGAAATGGATGAACCCAATTTTGAAGTAATTTTTCTACTAAATCAAGTCATATGTCATGAATAGCATGTTCGATATTGACCTCCAAAGCTTGAAGAGTGTCTGGTTTATTTCTAAAGATCACTGACTTCAAATAACCCCACAAGAAGTAGTCTAATGGTGTTAAGTCACAACTGCTTACAGGCTTTTCAATGTCACAATTTCTTCTTATTGGAACCAGGTGTGGTCTTCCAATTGCGGCCATAAAAAGTTGGTAATCATCGATTTACACCGCTCCCCATTGACAGTAACGGTTCCAAAATCGTCATTTCGAAGCAAGTACGGACCGATGATTCTACCAGACCAAAAACCACATTAAACTGTCAATTTAGGTGAATGTAATGATTGTTCATGAATATCTTGTGGATTTTCTTCGTACTAGAATCGACAGTTTTGTCTTATTAGCACTTGTACATGATGTAAAGAAAATGTACGCTCGAAATTTTCAACAATTTGACGACAAGACGATCACAAGTGGACGATTACGACCATAATAAAAGCAAAAGCGCACGAAAAGATGCAACTGAAGAACGATTATTTTGAAATTGAATAATTTGTAAAAGACACTTAGAAATTATATCATCCCTAATAGAAAACCCGATATATATATATATTTATATATATATATGTACATATGTATGCATGTATATATATGTATGTTAACTGTTACTAAGAACTTTGCATTTCGGTCTATTCAGAGGATTTGTTCATATTATTTATTGTTATATGGAGGCACGAAATATAATCGTTTTAGTTGATTTTGCTGTAAGATCGCAGATGAAATGAACGAAAACAGTAAGCCTAGGGTAAAGTTGCTAATAACTGCATTATAATATATTCAGTTCTAACACACATTCCTAAGAGTATACAGGATGCTACGTCCGGGCTAAATATTTATAGGAAGCGTATTGAAATGTCAATTTGTTGGTTTACAATGAAAAAGAACGTTATCTTGCATTCATAATTGCTTGAGAAGAGTGAAAATGGAGAATGAAGCACATGGGAGAAAAATGTGGCTGCAAGTTATAGGTCACTCCGAAAGGATCTATAATGAATTTCAGGGCCAGAAATGTGTTTTTACTTTGTTTATAATATTACAAAAGAGTAGAAACAGATAAATATTATTAAAATAGGCAATAAATATTAAAATACGCAATTCGGTTTCTAAACACCTTTACAATTTCATTAATTTTAAGCTTCTCAAGCTAACAAGATATCAATTTAGAATTCCTCTGATAAAATTTCTGGATCTACCGATGTCCTAATACAAATTAAATGAGCTTTCAGATTAGAACAATCTCAACCTTTTATTGTTAGAAAATAGCAAAGCTGCATCAGTGAATGCTTAGCTAACTTAGGTCAATTTTAAACTTTGAGTCAACCTGACAAACAGCCTTCCGAAGCTATTGAAATATCACCAAACTTTCCTTATTTTTCTCACTATTGATTTGAAATATGTTCTGAGTCTTCTCAGCTTTGATTTGTCTTCATCGGATGAGTATTAGGTTACGTCAATAAACTACTCAACAAGCTAATGTAATAGATACGCTTCCTTTAACTATGGTATGAAGCGGTATGTAAGGACAACTACCGAAATCCATGAAATTTTTCTTCTTTGTTGTTATTCATTACGGATCACGGAATTTCCGAAAATATGCAACTCGTCTACAAGGCAGAATATTGCCGTATAACCGTAACTTATCGACGTTAACACATTTCACCTGCCTAAATCAATGTTTGATGTCTCTTGTCGCACCCTGTATGTATGAAAATTGCACAAACTAAGTGCAAATTGTATGGATTAAACCAAAAGATGTACTGCAGCTCAGTTTCAAGTCAGCAGTTCATATTACAATACCTTGAAAATTCTACAACCGCATAAATATGCTGTTTGTAAGACGCCGAGAACTGCCGATTTGTTTATTTATAATTTGTGTAGCGACACTTTGTGTGAAACGCGTTACAGAAGCTCTCGTTGCATATCCGCGAGGAAGCTCCCAAGGCGTAAGTCAGCTTAATAATATGCTTTGCGCCAATTCTTTTCCGACTAACGCTGATTTTCTCTTTTGCTCTACACAATCGACAGTACTTGGCAGCGTTGGCCATGCCGATTAATCTACCGAATCGGAATGTGTATATGGCTTTCAATTTTGAGGCCAATTATGGATTTCCAACAAATGACTCCTACTACTACTGGGTGGACCGGGTAATACGTATATTATTAAACACATATATATCTTATTGCTATCAACTTTCTACTTTCACGCCGCCCATCACCTAAAAGTGGAACTTGGATAAGGAAGATGTGGGCGTTGGTAATAATGTGACGAATATTAACAACCTACGTCGAAGCATCGGGCAAATCTATACACGCAACGCTTTCTACCGCAGCATTGTCGGTTATCTGGATTATTATGATATGAATGGGACGGGCTGTCTGTTAAGGACAATTTGCGATGTGTCCGCTTCCAATTTGGATGAACATAATGGACTGCTCGGCAGTATTTTCAAAATTCTCTTCATGTAAGTGAGTTATATACGAAAGCATGTGTGTGTGTGTGTGTGTTTGTTTTGTGATAAGGACACCGCCGCATGCGCAGAGACATTTCAATTGTGCTCTGATTACTCATTTGGGGCGCATTTCATTCGTGTTAATTTTTTCTTTTTTTTTTGTAATGTATAATAGGCCAACGACATCAGCCCATGAAAGTGAACATTCACTCGACAATGTGGATACTTACGCAGCTGAGGCGCATGGACACAGTGGTGATTGCGCGCAATATGGACAATGGTGTCCGCACGGACTACTTGAGCTGATAACCGAATGGTTTTAGCTGAGATTGCGTCAAGGAAATACACGAAAAAATAATGTAAATGTCATTTAAATTATGAGTTCGGAAATAATTTGTTACTTTTTTGTTATGCTAATGAAGATAATATAAATAATTTAGAGTACAGTTTTTTACTTAGAGTGGTATATGGTTTTGGGTTCTGCCTCAGAATAAGAATGTTACTCAATAGCTGAGACCAACTGGATTTACGAACTAGTGCTATCATAACAGCAGCTGCCACTATTTTTGCGGAATATTTTAGAAAACTACAGTCAAACAACGTTTTTTATAAAAGGAAACAAGGAATCTGCTGCAATTTAATTTTTCGAATCTCATTGTTCTCAAACTATCAGCCATAAAACTCTACATCGTAAGTGATTAAATTAATATAACTTACTCTATGCTAGTATTGCACCAAACTGAGTGATATTACTCGGTGAAGACTGCCGTCTAGCATATACCATAGTTGACTTAAGCTTAGGCTTAGAGCCCGTTATTATTCTAACAATAGATAATGAGTTTTTAAATATTAACATGATAATACAGTCTATGATAGTTTTGGTTTGGACCAGTTATACCCCTAAACCCTCTAAAAATATTTTAAGAATTCATTTTGATGTTACAACCAGCTCAGCTCCAAATCCTAGCACACTACCAACATAGTACACATTCTCAAAAATGACTTTTCTTTGGTCGACACGTTCGAGATTTGGAACTGGGTTATAACTTTATTTGCATATTTTTATATAACCTTCTCAAAAGTGAAATTTTGCCCCATACTACTCTGAAAACAAAACAATTATGTTATTTCCATTAAAATTTCTACCCCATCGAATTGCTCTAAGTTGGTTGCAAAGAGAGGCGAAAGAGCGCCAGACCGCAGACGGCCGCACTTAGATCATCATTAAGTTTATTGTGGTCCCAAGTGATAACCAATTAAGCCTTGTCCAGCAACTCTAAACCAAAGCAGCTTTGTAGTATGCCCTAAGTTGCTAATATTCCAGGACCTATTTCTTTAGAGTTCATTGCTTCAAGCAACCCTTGAAGCAGCAGAATGGTTTAGGAAAGTTTAGGTGAATTGTATTACTGGCTGCCCACGAGTGAATCACTTATCTGACTTTTCATTTCATTTTATTCCTATGTAAACCAGATGATTTTTAAAGAGTTTTGCTAATTGCAGCTTGGCTATTCACTAGAAGGAGAATGAATTTACAAGTTCGAGGAGAAGTCCACTATGCCAACAATTTTGGCCTGAAATTTAAATTAAATTTTAGTCATTTAATTTGAAGGAATAGAAGAATCTCGTTCCTGTTCTTATTTCACCCCTTGATCCATCAGTGAATTCGTATATTTCGTCGTTGGCCTAAAATTTTAAGCAGGCTGGCCGTAAGCATTGCATCATATTTCACTTGAAGAGCTATTCTTCAGAACCTTTGTTGGGGCAGTTTACATTGCGCCCGTAATCCTTAGCCAGCAGGCCCGTCCCAGGAGCGAGTTTTTCTTAATTACTGAAACTCATCTTAACAAGGGAAAATAATTTGCTGATTTCCTTTCTTTTTACATATAATTGAGCGCGACTGTTGGGGATCATCGTATATATAATATTACATATAAACTTGTAATTTATATCCGAATTCGCGATACCGCTGAATTCAAGTTTCAAACTTTTCTCTTAAAGTATATCGTGTGAAGTTACCTATATACATAGGAAAGCTAAGAAGTTCGATAGTTAGACGTAACTGAATGGATGACTTATGAGTTTTTCCCACGATAGTCGGAACTACTTAACTGATACGCACATAATATTATACCAATCAGCAAAGCCGCCTAAAGTTGTTTTTGGATGTTAACTGAGAAATAAACTTATATTGACCTATTACTTTTAAGTTGAATTCAAACTTTGATGATATTTTTGTGCAGTAATTCATTACATGCCGAAGAACAATCGCTAAAAAATATCGCAACACCCCAGCCAGAAACTTCAATCAGCTCCAATTCCTGCTTAGGTATGATAGATTTAGCCTATTGAGTTTTACTTAGTTTGCTTTTCGTAACCTCAAAAATAGCTAAGTATTTTAAACTCTATAGAAATTTTTTTAATGCCATCCTTTCTACTTAAGTATTTACTTGCTTGCTCTAGCTTGCCCTAGAAAACTTCTCAACTCACTTCCTATCGCTTTCGCCTTTCTAGAGTCAAAGAGGGCGTATTTTTTATCACCATTTCAACTGGAACAATGTACGACCAATACTTCCAACAAAAATAAAACGCAAAGCCAAAGACATTGAGATTTCTTTAAGGAAACAAATCAAATCACTCAAATAAAACATGCCAGTCAAAGTGAGGAATAGAAAAAAAAACCATAAAATAATTGGAAAAATAAGTTGAGTAAAGAAACTGAAAGCCGATAAATTTATTGTGATTTTTTTCTGTGACGGGGAACAAAGGGCAAGGCTTTAAAGTAAATCAAGGAATTATAAAATTCTAACAATGCGAGGCGCATGGAACAACACAAAACATAAGAAAGAGCGCAAAAAAGGCGAAAACAAAACTCTTTTTATAAAACTTAAATAAAGGAGCACAGGAAGAGACGATCAACGAACTGCCAAAATCAAAGAAACGACGAAATACAACAAACACAGGCGCACTGATAAAACCGAATTTCAACTCTAAACGGCTGAGTTGTCCAGTGCAAACCACACAGAACAAAGCAAACACGCCGCGCACTCAACCAGCTAGTCATCCTGCGGCGCAATGCAGCTATCAGCAGTAGATGTAGCGGCAGCAGCAGCGTTTCGAAATGGAGATGCAAGTTGAAGGCTTGGGGACTGGTACTGACATAATGAATTTGTTTAAGCGCATAAAGGGAAGTAGACATAGACATACACACACACAACAGCATTCTTTGTGATTGAAAGACGTCCGCGAACAATGCAAACCGGCAAGGCGGAGGCAAAGCCCAACCAAAGAAATCATAAAAAAGGGAAGACTGCACATTCAAAGGAGTCTGTCTTGTGTGTGAAAAAATATATGAAATACTTGTAAGTTAAAAAATTTAATCATTTTCGACAGAGCGCGCACAGTGCCTCAAAATGTGGCATCATGTCCCCTTTGTTTGCACTACCATTTAACCCCGGAGCCAGAATAAAAGATGATGAATTGAAAAAACGGTATTGCGCTTGTTTAAATAGCTTCGCTTTGCCATTCAGCTTGCTTAGTGTGTTTACGCCGGATCGCCTTAAAGCGAGAACTTTAGAGCGGAATGCGCTTGTCAGCGGCTGTCAGCACGGGACAATTGGCATTAAGTTCACTACATTTCACACACTCACGCAGCGTGGGGCCTTAAAGGTAGCCAAATTGTGTATGCATAAGTTACTGAGACTGACTGAAGACTGTCGGTTAGCAAGCTGTGAGACTTCTGGAAATCCTGTTGTTTCTACTCAATGCGCGTGAGACTTGCGGTCGGCAGACTGTAAGCTTTATATGAATTCAACAACTTAACCGGCACTAGAAATAAGAGATAATGAAAACTGCAAACTTGAAGTCGTAAAATTTCTAGCTTCCAGAAGTTTAATACGCAGTTCCAATCAATTCGTATTCACTCCAAGTAAAACGAAATTTCTTGTAGTGAGAAGTTGCAGGAATAGTTCGTTAAATTACTTCAAAATGACAAAAATTATATTTTTATTTCAATTTGTAAAGTTTGCTCCGACAATTTACAAATTATTAAAAGTTGCAACAAAAAGACAATAATCATGAAAGTCAAGTTCAAATTATCTGCTAAAAATCAAGTGTGCTACCGAAAATAAATAAGAGAAAAGAAAAGAAATAAAGATCTTTCTTAACTCCAGAAACTCACCCCACAGAACAAAAATCTATCAACTTTAATGGTGAACGATCACATAAATGAGAAAACACGGCAATCTAAGAAGAGAATTTTTTAGATAGCCTTTATTTAGGATATCGAGGTCTTAGGTTCGAGTATCCCAAGGGTCCTTCAGTTATTGGCATTACTAACTTATAATTAACAATTCTTGCTATTAGATCAAGCTAGATCCAAAGAAATGTATTAAAGGTAAGAGGTTAGGCTTAGTGATAGTGACAAGTACAAAATGTAGTGTCAGTAAGTTTTTTAACCATCGTGAACAGCGGCGACGAAGTCACAATACCACACATTATTCCTGCGTTCGTTACTATACCTAGCAACCGTTACTATACCTGATTTGACGACAACATTAACCAGTTATATAAAAAAGGTGTTTGTTCTAAGGTCACACGTTCATCGGTTACCGCATCTCCTACAAGGTTTTCTCGTGTTGCTTCGAACATGCGCCCATGTTCTTCAGACTTAGTGTAGCTGTGCATCTTTAACTACACTTCTACAGTTAAACCTATACTCCATGAACCCTTTGAAAAGTCTGCTTTAATAAAATCAATGCCTTCACTTTTCATTCCTAATCTTAAGAAGTAACTCAGTATAAGGAGATATTTATCGTCCGATATGTACTATTTACATTTAAATTAATTGTTCAATCTCATACATCTAAATGTCGTATCATCGCACCACATATGTATTTACGTATATCTGCACTAACTGCTCCTTCATTGTTGCTGGCCTTCAACATATGGTAGATCTAATCGGTCGCTCACTCCGACATTAATATTTAAAGCATCTTCCTTCTGTTATATTAACCAGGCAATTTGAATATTTAATAAGGCGATTTAATACAATTCATAACTAGTATTTACTCTACCCTCATAACTTAGCGAACACTCCGCACACAGCAATTTTTCAACTCGCCTATTTGGAAAAAAACCAAACAACGGTGAAAAAGTTATAAGCTTTATGAAAAAAAATCGCCGGGTGCGCATATAAAATAACTCTACTCTGGCAACTATTGCCGTTGAACTGCTTTTTGAGTGCCATCAATCATCGGATGCTTTACGTGAAATGGTTACACACACACACCACCCAACCTTTTCTGCTTTACCCATAGATATATGGGTATGGTGATGACTTTTATGAGCTTCCGCTTATGCTTCGCTAGTGTTGCTTCCTCGACGGTTTTTCTTCCGGTTTATCCTATATATTACTC